CTGGTTTTCTGAGAATAAAAGGATTTAACACTTATTCCTGAGGTACTTGGTGCGTCTCCTCTTCCTTCTGGCTTTTTGACTATATTATGCAATATCTCAAAACAAAAAAAGAGTTACAAAGACAATAATTAGATGGACTCGTCGACAACACTTTGGGGGTTTGCCAGTTGATGGTTGGGACATGGTACTATAACTTAAATGGTTCAAATTGGCTTACAAATATCTGTCCACGAAAGGGTTAAAACTGGATTTTTTTTTATAACATCCTGGTATCAAATGCCTTTAATGTTGACTTAAACTTTGTGTTTAGAGTGAGAGAGACATTGATGGAGTCTGTCAGGTCATTTAAACCAGCCAGTGAGACGGTTACTGAAGCCAGAGTTTTGCTGGTCGGTCCAGTCGGTGCTGGAAAGTCCAGCTTCATCAGCTCTGTCCAGTCTGTCTTCTCTGGACGGGTCATCAACAGAGCCATGGTGGGCTCTTCATCTTCCACCAGCTTCACTAAAAAGGTAAATGTGACTAGAACTGGCAAAAGTTTGTGGTCAAACAAAATCATTTTTGGAAGGTTCTGAAGGTTTCATTGACTTGTTGTCTTCATATGTTGAGAGGTTCAAGCTATATTTTGCAGTCTTTTTGTGGAAAGTAGTGGTTAGTTTTCTCCTGTTTTCTTTGGTGCATCTTAGCTTCGCTCGTACAACATCAGAGGAGCAGGAGAGAATGCAAACGAGCCCACAGCTCTGGTTTTGTGTGACGTGATGGGTGTAGGTGAAGGAGAAAGCACTGGCCTGACTCTTCACGATGCACTGTCTGTCATTAAAGGACACGCACCAGAGGGACACCAGGTACATTTAAGCTATATAATATGACATTTAAACTTACAGTAAAAACAGACAAGTGTGATTGGCAAGACTTTACTGTTAAAATACAGTGTTAAAACTTCAAGATTTACAGTATAGCATTGAGGCTCATTCACACCAAGGATAACACAATAAAAGTAAAGTTTTAAAAATCATTCTAATTTTATGAGAATAGGGATGTCCACACCACAGTTTTAACGCTAACAACACAGATATTTTGTAAATACTTTCAGAAATTTTTGTTCCTGAGTTATGATAAAAATATAGACCATGTGTTTAACAGCCAATCAGATTCCTCCGACTTTAAAGAGTTTGAGCATTTATGTGACGGAGTTACCAGCCATCCTCCAGCTCCACCCACTCATGCTGATTCATCGCACCTGTCCACACTAATCAACCATTGCCTATAACTACCTTCCCGTCACCACACCAGTGTCTGGTCTTGTTGTTCGATACTGCATCACTTTCCTGACTCTTTTCTGCTGTACTTACCTGCACATGATCCAGTTGTCGTCCATCGTCTGCCTCAGCATTCCGGCTAATCCACCAACCTGCAAACCTCAAAGACAGTGTTAGCTAAAGCCGGGCTCACACTACAGGAGTTTTAAAATCCT